GGCTGGCAGTTCAAACCCACCAGTCACTCCTCGGAAGGAAGGTTGGGCAATCTACTTCTGTAGTGATACTGCCTCGGAAACCCAAGGAGGGGTCACTTTGAGTCGGGGCCAACTCGAGGGCACATAACAACAACAACAACAAAATCTTTATGGAAGTAGATTGCCTCATATTCCTCCCATAGAGCAGCTGGTAGGTTTGAATCATCGACCTTCTGATTAGCAGCCAACTGCCTTACCCACTACACCACCAGAGCTCCCCTACTATGATTAGGACTATAAATTCAAGTTTTAATTGAAATTACTTAAAAACAAGTTTTTGGTTTTTTTAATGTGGTAAACTATATATGTAACAAAACATTTCTATCATTTTTATTTGTACATTCAGTGACATTAATTACAGTTACCATACTGTGCAATAATCATCATTGTCCATCTCCAAATTTTTTCATTGCCTTTAACAAAAACTCTGTACCACTTAAGCAATATCCTCTGTCCCCCACTCTCACCATTTCTGGTAACCAGTAATGAATGTCAGTCTATTTGAACTTTTTTTGTGTATGTGATTTGGGTGAAAGTTCACAGAGCAAATTCATTTTCCATACAGCAGTTTGTATACATTTTTCTTCAAGACATTGACTGTCATCCCCACAATGTAACAGCTCTCTTCCCACTTCCCCCTGTAGTTACCTCTTTCCTTTGTCCTTTTTCCCTTTGCATTCCTGCCCCCTGAGCCGTCTCCCTTTGCAAACCCTGCCTTTCTGTTCTCCAGGATTAATTGCTCCAAGGAGTGTATCTACCTGATGTAAATGTTCACCCTATATGCCTATCTGTTGTTTGGTTGGAAGCCACAGGAATGAGTTCAATTCCAGACCTGAAGGGTAACTAGGGGCCATAGTCTAGTGGGTCTCACCAGGCTCTAGCAGACCAGTAAACCTCATCTCTTTATCATGATTTTGAGTTTTGTTCCACATTGTTCTCCCACTCTATCCAGTATCTCCTGCACTAATTCCTTTCTGAGTGGTTGATAGTGGTAGTTGGGTGAACCTAACTTTTGAAGTTACAAAAGTAATATAGGCTCTTATAAACCAAAAACAACCAAACTCACTGCCATCAAGTTGATGTTGACTCATAGTGACCCCTCCTTGGATTTCCGAGATGGTATCTCTACAGAAGTAGATTGCCCAGTCTTCCTTCTGAGGAGTGGCTGGTGGGTTTAGACCTC